CCCTTTTTAAAACTTTTTTTAGATAGCTTTATAATACATTCATAACTAATAGTTATACTCTCAGATTAATCAATTTTCACTGTTATACCTTTACAGTACTACTTTTGAGTTCTTAAATTCTGAATTGTTTCTAATTTCTCAGAGTATATCCTTAAGTAATTCATTAGCTATTGGGGAAGATATAGCTTCCAAGAGCTTCCCCTACTGAGAATGGCATTCTAATTATTATGACACAGAAATGATATTTAGTTGGATTTAATATTTTGATTGGGAAGCTTTTTCCTGAAAATAATAGGGCAAGCATCATTTTTTTTAAGCATATCTTAAAGGAAAAGTCTAATGTCAGGCTGGCATTTGGGTGCTTTTGTTTTATTCAGGCTTGGGCTTTGTATATATATTTTATCACAGATTCTTAAAGTAGACCTTTTCTCATTCATCTTCCTTCTAATAATCTTTTTGTTTTGTATTTGTTTTTGTTGTTTTGTTTTCATTTTAGTTCATTAACAATTTCATCAGTTTGCTGTTTCTTTCTATTCTGTTTCTTTTTTTTTTTTTTTTTAGAAACACTGTCATTCAATATTTATTTTATGCCTTTATTTTATGGCTCTATTTCTTTGTGTACATTTTTCATGTCTGGGATTATTTCTCAAATTTGTCCTATCATATCAATATGATTCCATTTTCTATGTCATTAAACACGCTTTAAACTTCAAATTCCTTTTTTTTGAGCACTTATAATATGACTTAGTTCTTTTATTAAATATTTAATTTTCTTTCTCTTCATTCTTTATTCATGCTTCTTTACTTTCTTTCATCCTAGTATTCTCAGGAACTACTTTAAGATATCTTTTTACTCATGGGGAGCATCATTTTCACTTTATTTCTTTACCTTGCAGTAGGTCTAGATATGATATACATAATGAAAAAAATAAATAATTATTAAAACCAAATACAAAACTCATTGTCTCATTCCACGACAAATAAGGGAAAAACAGACAATCTTGGGCCTGTTAGCAGACTCTGTAGGTCACCGCTGTCTGTTTCACTGTTTTGGGGGTCTGTGGCTGAAAGGATGCAATGTACTGTGTGATGAGGGCCTTGGCTGCCTTCCTGCATTCTCTCCTAATTCCGATAGTTGCTGTTTGACAAATGTGGGATACTGGGAAGTGACAGACCTGATTTGAGGTCCCATTTCTGACAAGACAGTAGAAGTTGGCCCCCATTCTTATCTGGACAGACTAGATCTCAAGCAGTCAGTGAGGATGGTACAAAGTGTCCAACTCTCATCAGAGCGAAGCTTAGATGATAGTTCTTTTCTGTTTTGATTTGTTGTCTGGTGAGTTTTTAGAGCCCAGTTTTGAGCATTAGGTGAGGTCTGTATAGATTTTTCTTAATTTTTTATGATACAGGGGATTGAACCCACTATGCTCAACCACTGAGCTACCTCCCTGGACCTTCTTATTTTTTATTTTTTGATACTTGGGAATTGAACTCATGGGCACTCCACCACTGAGCCACATCCCCATCCCTATTTTGTATTTTATTTAGAGACAAGGTCTCACTGAGTTGCTTAGCGCCTCGTAGTTGCTGAGGTTGGCTTTGAACTCGCCATCCTCCTGTCTCAGCCTCCCAAGCCATTGGGATTACAGGCAGGCATGCGCCACCATGCCCAGCCTTATTTTTTATTTTGATACTGGGTCCCACTAAGTTGCAGAGGCTGGCTTTGACCTTGTGATCTGAATTCAATTTCATGCCTATTTCATATTCTGCTAATGGTTAGTTTTAGTTTTAGTGACTTTTGGGCGTTGTTTTTCCTCAATGTTGTATCATTAGTAATTTAGTGGGGTGTAGAGTGAATTTACATGAGGAACTGCTTGACAGGTGCCTCCGGACTGAGTGCCCATTGTTTGGCACTCACCACTACTACTCTGGAGTCAGGCTGTTAGCACTAGTAAAAGCAATTCCTTTTGAGAGAAAAACAAAGTTTAAAAGTTATATTGTTTTATCTAAGTCTACAAAAAAATCCAGAAAAGTCATAAATGCATTGGAGAATGAATAAAGTAAGTTATCCTTATGGAACTTTTTGTTAACAAACAGAGAAGCTATACATTGTTATCTACTTAGTAGTAAACATAAATTTATTTTTAAAGGAACTGTAATTATAGGCTCTCAATTACATCCAGCATCTTCATCATTAATACCAGTTTCTGAGTCCTGACTTAGAGGGCGTTCCTTGTTAGAGAATCTCATCCTGTGCTATGTATCTTGCAGTTGGTATTGTCATTCAAGTCAGGTTATGCTATGCTCAGTAAGCCTATTTCAGCTCATTTTGTATACACCATTCTTTAAGAAAAGAAAGACACCATATATAAATCTTTGAGTTGAAATGAAAAAAAAAAGTTTCATTTTACCAACACCAAAATGTCAGCAAAATAAGTTTCAGTTCCTTCTTTTGTGGTGCTTACACTATTGTGGGTAAATAGATATCACTCCAATACTCAGAAAAATAATTGTAAAAATTCTTATTCCAGTGCTGAACTATCTTATAAAGTTACATTCAAATACCAGTTATTGTTGCTCTTGTAATGTCAGATCAAAGAGTGTTACTCTTATCTCATTAGAAAACTTCTGGTACTAGAACTAAATTTTTCCTACTAAATAAAGTTTTGCTACTAAAATAATATTTTTTTACTTAAAAATGTTTTTGACCCTTATACAGAATAAGTCAAGAGAATACGAAAGTTCAATCTGATTATTTATGTTTCTGTATAAGAGTGTTTCTATTTCTAGTAGTTATATTTGGATTACATTGATTCAGCCATATGCATACATGCTCCATATTTATCTTTTTAAAAGCAATAAATAGAAAGTATACATACAGACTGTTAAAAGTGAGCTCCTGTTCTTTGTAAGAATTGTATATTTATTTGGGTTGATATCCTTGGGTAGGTTTCTGTGGGTATCTGTGGCATTCATATTAGACATGACAAAAGAGATGAAAAACACTGGTTTTGAAAGTTCAACGACACTGACCTGCAATCTTGTTTTTATTTATGTCCTCCAATCCCAAGACTTTTCTCCAAACCTAGCTCTCTCAAGCCCAGAAGTTCCAACAGGCATTTCAGGTTCTGATTCCATTCTTTTTTTCCCACTGTCAGTCAGCTTGACCTTCTCACAAATACTTGGTCCTTTGGGAAATATATTGGTCCCTGAAATAAATCTCTTAAGCAATGAAAAAGAGAACTGCTTTAGAGTAAGAAAATGCAACCTTTAGCCAATTATGCTTCTCTTGTCAAGTTTTCTTTACCCTTTGTGAAGCAGTTTTCTCTTCCTCAGGAAATGGGGGAACGTCAGGCCCATTTTCCTACTTTGCCTTGAAGGTGGTAAGGTCCACTCTTGGATTTGAGACATAACAAAGACACCAAAGCCAGAGACCATCTGACCTGGTTATATGGGAAAAAGATTAATCAAGCCTTCCAGAGGCAGATTCCCAGTGCCCTTTCTGTCAGCATCATCCCTAGAACTTCTTTCAGGAAGGATAATTTATTAATCTCCCTAAATATATATTTCAAAGGGAGATTCTATACCATGTTCATGTATCCTCAGACCAACACATACTCTCATTCACTAAGTGCTGGCTGAACCAGAAAGATGGTCTAAGTTCTGCTCATAACAACAGCAACTAATTGAGCACCATTTTACATTCTGTCAGAATACTCAGAGATTACTCAAAGTAACCCTATGGTTTCCAGTCAGATTAATAATTTCTCATCTGAGTGTGACAGTGATGACATATGCCTCAGGGTTTTTGTAAGGATTAAATGAGTGAGAAATCCCAAAGCAACTGATTCCGTTAGACACATGATGAAGGTAAGAAGCAGAGATAGGGAGAGTCAGACCTGGGACTGTTTCCTCTTCTCCTCCTACTTGTAGTGGAAACTTGAAGAAGCTATGTTACTTCTATGAAAACAGGTTTTCTTATAAGTTTGTGGCAAACTAATTTGGTGGTACAAACCTGACAGGATACTATTTATGATCTTTATGTACTTCATTGAGTCGGAGTATTCATATGCTTGGTGGCAGAAATATTCATGTGTTTGGTTGCAGATCCTGTGTTGGGTAATATGGAGTTTATGGAAGATGCATCACATTACCTTTCTGAAATTAAAAAATTGCTGAATTCCTAAAACATCGAGCTCCATGAATTTCAGAGAAAAAATTCTGAACCCATAAGTCGTTTTCATTAAATTGGGGAGTGTTCGTTTATGCGTTAAGGAAATGAATGATTCATTGATTCTTCCTCCTTTACAAAGAAAAGAGTGGGGGAGGGGAGAAGCAAAACAGACATAAATGGTGACTCTTACGCTAGGGAGCTGTAGTAGAAGCTTTTTGAGGTCTGAATCTTCAATATGAGGGGGTCTTCTGGAGAACAGAAATCTGAATAAGTACCACTTCTGAAATTTAAAAAAAAAAGGAAAAAAAACCCTGAGGTTTCTCTATGAAACTGCATCTCCCTCTTTTTCCCTTTGCAGCTGAGCTGCTTCATCAGAATGTTCGAGGGACTCACAGAACCATAGTGCCACCTTTCTTCCAAATATGGAATTAAATCTTCACATTGCTCCTGCTCCGTAGACTCACAGGCTTAAACCTTTCCGTTGGCCCGACTAAGCAAGGAAACATTGCTTTGACAGTCAAATCATAAAGGAATATCTGCAAAGAGAGCAAAAAAAAAAAAAAAAAATGTGTTTTCTTCTCTTTGGTTCCTGAGCAATAAACGGGTAACCTAATCTGATGTTAGGGAATGTGAACCATAAACCCCATGTTTAATTAGTTCACACCCAGTGAGTCATTTTACACACTAGACATTTTAATTTACAATCTTCTGCATTGCAGCACTTTTCTAGGCTTTTTACTGTGTGATAAGGTATTCTTGTAGCTGGTGAGACTTTAAAAATACAGATACACTCTCTTAGTTCAGATATTTTCTTTTCAATTTTCAGTTGCAAATCAAACATGCAGTAACAGAAGCAGAGATTCAAAAATTGAAGACCAAGGTAAGCACCAGTACATGGTGTTTGAATTGTACTCTTTAAACTTCACATACTATAAATAAATTCAACCCTAGGACTGAAGGATTTGTTCCTGTGCATTTGAAAGAATACAAATGTGAGAGATTCATTTCCACCATTAGATCATAGACAAACACGCTGGTGAGAACAAGCATTCATGTACTCCTCAGGGAAAATAGCATGATATTTTAAATGTGTATATTTATGTGTTTGCACACATGTAGTCAATTTCCTCAGAGAGTTCCTCAAAAAGTAATAATTTTAATGGTTCAAGTGTCTGAAGTATGTTTAATAAATTTTACCCACTAATTTTTTCACTTACCTTATTATAGATTTTATCATTTATTTATTTTTAGTTTATTCACCAGAAACAATGTATTGTTTTAATACAGCACATTATTTTTGATAAAAACAATTTTTAAGAATAAGATATTGTAAACTTAATACAAGTAATTAATTTTAGGTGCTAGGTGTTACTGGAAATTTTTAGGCAAGTTTAATTCACATTTTTAAAAATTTGTAAGGGAGGAAAAGTCTTAATAAAAGGAAATAGGTATTTTTAGTCTCTATACATGAAATAATGAAGGATTCAAAAGGGCATTTTTAATTGGTAAATTGTAAGGTACTTGTTTGTATGAGCTATGATTCTAGCCATTGTGATTAGTCTTAAATATGTAATTTCATATTTAAAATACCTTTTGAATTACTTTAAAACAATATTTCTTATTGTTCCTATGATCTTTTAAAAATTAAGACATAATTACTCCCCCACTACTAATGATCCGTTTTCTCATTCACACTGAACACTTGTTTTGGTTTTTCCATGTGTTTTAAATGGAGATGAATTAGCAAGGCTATTTTGGTTAAATGGTATTCTCGCTCTGGAGCTCTTTAGTCAAAACACGTCTATACATCATTCATGGTGTCAGCCCAGCACTGTGAATAGTAATTTTTACATTAGTAGTGGTTGATAAATAAACAACTTGATACAAAATGTTTCTTAATAAAAGATATTGTAAAAAAGAGAAAAAAAAAAAACTAGTCCTGTTTTAAATTGCGATTGTTTCTTGACATAGGAAAAAAAAAGTGGATTTTTAAAAACTGGTTACAATTAGGGAAAAAAGATTCCCCTGTGATTATAAATGCTTCAGTGGAGCTTATGTGTTAGACTATAAACATTTAACTTAGAAAATACTATAAATTAGTATTTATATTTTTCTTATTATTACATTGGCTTATTATATTCACAGATTAATTTACTATCATGGTTATTAATGTTAATAATATAATTCCTAATTTTGAAGTGCTTTGGGCTACTTTTTAACTTTGTAATTTGTTTTATAAGTATGTTTAGTTAAAAATTTGTAGCCAATTATGGTGGCACATGCCTGTAATCCCAGTGACTCAGAGACTGAAGCAGGAGAATCACAGGTTTAAGGTCAGCCTCAGCAACTTAGTGAGGCTCTAAGCAATTGAATGAGACCTGTCTCAAAATAAAAATGGAAAGGGCTAGGAATGTGGCTCAGTGGTTAAGCACCCTTGGATTCAATCACTGGTACCAGAAAAAAATATATATACCAAACACATGCACACATACATGCACACACATATGTGAACATATATATTTCCATTTGCTGAATGGTAGGTGATTTTAGAATATCTTGATTTTGAGAATTTATAATTTATAATGATTCCACAATCTTTCTGAACTTTAAAGAAGGTATAAGAAGTAGATAAAGCACTAGACGGAAAGCTTTGCAGTGATTGTGAATAAGTGACTTTTAAGCCCTTACCTAAGTGATCAGTCTTAAATTTCTGTAGAAATGAAGGTGTTAGAGAGGTACATTGTCAATTCCTAAGAGTACCTAGAAGCAGAGGCTACAGAAAGCTGCCTTTCTGTTCCACTGGAGGGATTAAAATTAATCAAACCAGCATTTACATTTTCACTTACCCACCTTTGTACGTTTATGTGAATTGAGATTTATAAAGATCTGGAAATTCATAACACTGACTGTAATATAATAAGCTACAGACTGTGTTCATGCCATTGAAATAAAGAACGTAATAATATCATCAAAGGGGTTAAAAGAAAAGTAATAATATCTAACATTTATCAGATGATTATTGTCCCCAAGGAACTATTCCAAGCATGCCAATGTGTTATATCACCATTCTGTCATAGAGACGATAACATCGACTCTTGGGAAAATCTAATTACTTACCAAAAGTTTAAGAGCCAATAATGGCAAAAATGAGATTCAAATCTAAGGTGAATAATCCCAGAGTCCCCCTCTTAACCATTGGGCCATCCTGTGATTTTGCTGTTCTCTCTCTGCCTCTCTTCACTCCCTTTTTAGTTAATTTTTGCATATCATTTTACATTAAAAAAAATACCCCCCCAAAAAACACTTTGACATTTGTTAGATAATCATTCAAACTCTAAAATGTCATTTCCTGCTTATAGAATTTCAGACCACAGGATATGAAGGAAAATTCATGGGATTTGGAATCAAATCCGTGTTTTTTATCAGATATATCACTTTGGACAAATAATTTCTCTTTTGAGGCTTCCATTTTATCCTTTGTGGAATTATGGAAATAATACTTGCTTTTCTCATCTCAAGGTGTTTTGATGATTGAGTATATGTAATAATGGAATTTAATCTAAAACATGCTGTAAAATATGAGAGACTTTGCTGCAGACATATCCAAATTATTCTTGCCTTGATATTTGCTTTCTCCAGTTGCAGGCCGCAGAAAATGAGAAAGTGAGGTGGGAACTAGAAAAAACCCAACTCCAACAGAACATAGAAGAGAATAAAGAAAGAATGCTGAAGTTAGAGAGCTATTGGATTGAGGCTCAGACATTATGCCACACAGTGAATGAACATCTCAAAGAGACCCAAAGCCAGTATCAGGCCTTGGAAAAGAAGTACAACAAGGCAAAGAAATTGATCAAGGATTTTCAACAAAAGTAAGCAGCTTTTCATGACTAAAGAGTAGTTATCTGTGTCCAAAACAGAGGCTTATATCCAACACTTTTGTAATATCTAGTGGAATAGAAAAGATGATCTCAAGCTTTTCCCTTTTGGTAGTATAGTGACCACCAAAGAAGTTATTATGTTCTGGAAACCACTTGCATCAGTTTTTCATGTTAGAATGTATTTTGCATATTTTGCCATTTTTTCACAATCATTTGCCTCCTGGTTTTCCTTTTTCTTTTCTTTTTTTATGGTTAATCATTGATAGTAACTATTAAAGTATTTGAACTTCTTTTTTCTTTTGGAAACATCTCTCTATCTCTGATTTAAAAACAAGAAACCTGGCTAAAGTCTTGCAGAGTGACTGGCTATAGTACTTGCTAAGGAGCATTTGGGGTTGGATCATGCTGCTTCTGTCTGAATCAATGACTGTAGAATTTCCCCATGACAGGCAGCGTAAATATTGACTGAACTGACCCCACCCCCCACCCTGCCACTCTGCATTTCTCAGCTGTTGAAAGAATCACTGGGCCCGCAGTTCACTACAGTGAGAGAGACCATCACTACACTCCACTTTTGAATTCCAGCAACTCTTTCTGCTGCTTTGCTTCCATCTCTTGAATTTTGTTGTAATATCCGAAGGAAAGACTAGGAAAATTTTTATTATATTTTTTTCATCAGTTACTTCCTATTAGCTAAAACTAAAAAGAAGTAGTACCAGTACCTTTTCTGGTCCTCAGGTCAAGCCTTAGAAGTTAAGTATATGTGTAAGATTCAGCATGTCTCTACCTCTTATCATGGAAATAATATTTTGAATATTGAAAAGAGAGTGCTATAAAAAATTTGTGGCAAAAGAAGGGTAATTGCTCTTTGTTACTGTGAATTCAAGACATCACTGTTTTAACCTTTTTGCCAAAAATATCATACCTAATTTTCTTTGTAATGATTTTATAATAAAGTTTGCCAAATTTCATATCCCATTCTAGCCTCTCAAAATAGAAATATTTCTCTTTCTTACTATATTATATTAGGTGTGTGAGAAGTACTCTCACACACCCATTCCCTTCTCCATGATAATTCAGAGAAAGAAATCTTAAAATAATCACCTTTGAAACTCTTACCATCCATTCGCATCAGTTTACTCATGTACATGACATTAAAAATAGGGAGTCATTTTTACCTGACACACAATTAAATTCTCCACAAAGTTACCCAATATATGGGTACTCTAGAATCAGGAGCTACAAATGAAAATCATAATAAACAGAATCAAAATGCTATTCTTTATTTTGTGACACATTAATGATGTTTTATTTTTTTTTAATTACTATAAACATTTCCTCTAACTACAGTTGATTTTTGTTTATTTAAATAGCTCTTTGTTTATCCCATTGTGAGATTTATTGTTCCGTAAGAACTCTCATTACCTCACCTATTAAGTGTCTGTCTGATACAATCATATGTATTATTTTCTTCTTAAGAGAGCTTGATTTCATCAAAAGACAAGAAGTAGAAAGAAAGAAAATAGAAGATTTAGAAAAAGCTCATCTTGTGGAAGTTCAAGGCCTACAAGTGCGGGTGAGTTGTATTCTCAAAGCTTCGAAACATGTGATAGTTTTACCTGGCACTTGGAGAGGAGTGCTGGTTTAGAGTTTTACAGATGGATATTTTTGTTTTTCTAGATTAGAGATTTGGAAGCTGAAGTGTTCAGACTACTGAAACAAAATGGGACTCAAGTTAACAATAACAACAACATCTTTGAAAGAAGAACATCTCTTAGTGAAGTCTCCAAAGGAGATACCATGGAGAACTTGGATGTCAAACAAACATCTTGTCAGGATGGCTTAAGTCAAGGTTCGTGTAGCCTAGCCTTGAAAATCACTTTTAAACTACACAATTTGGACTCACATTCTTCTTTTCTGATTCAGAGAATCCAGAGTTGTAAATGCCTTCCTACTTTTAGAAAGCAGAAAAGTCTTGTTAGAGTAGGACTCCATCATTTTACCTCTAATCTTATCAAAAATAAATGCCTTAATATAAACAATTAACAAAATCCCAACTAAAGATGAACTGAGTATTATTTTTAAACCATAATGTTGACTAACTTAATAATCTGCCTTAAAAATGATAGGCCATCTCATCAAGAATAAACCACACTACTTTGTTTTTTTTTTTGTTTTTTTTTCTAGAGACAATTTTATTTATCCCATTAAAATTGATTTTAAAGTTTATAAACAATGTCAACTGTACAGAGGAAAAAAAGACAACAAGAACATCTTTTATCTATATTACAATCTCACTAATTCAGATTATAATATAAAAAACTAGTCAAATTAGTGAATATTATTGCTTCCAAATCTGAAACCATTTCCCACTTAAAAAATCTTTTTGATAAGAATCTAGCTAATTGAATTCATTTTAACAAACAAAATTTATTTGGAATTAGGATAATTATGTGGAAATGGTGCTGATCTAGTGTTTCTTTTTGCAGGTGCTATTGCACTTTTATTTATTTATTTTTTAATTTTTTATTGTTGGCTGTTCAAAACATTACATAGTTCTTGATATATCATATTTCACACTTTGATTCAAGTGGGTTATGAGCTCCCATTTTTACCCCATATACAGATTGCAGAATCACATCAGTTACACATCCATTTATTTACATATTGCCATACTAGTGTCTGTTGTGTTCTGCTGCCTTTCCTATCCTCTACTATCCCCCCTCCCCTCCCCTCCCCTCCCCTCTTCTCTCTCTGCCCCCTCTACTGACATTCATTTGTCCCCCTTGTATTATTTTTCCCTTTCCCCTCACTTCCTCTTGTATGTACTTTTGTATAACTCTGAGGGTCTCCTTCCATTTCCATGCAATTTCCCTTCTCTCTCCCTTTCCCTTCCACCTCTCATCCCTGTTTAATATTAATCTTCTTCTCATGCTCTTCGACCCTACTCTGTTCTTAGTTACTCTCCTTATATCAAAGAAGACATTTGGCATTTGTTTTTTAGGGATAGGCTAGCTTCACTTAGCATAATCTGCTCTAATGCCATCCATTTCCCTGTAAATTCTATGATTTTGTCATTTTTTAATGCAGAATAATACTCCATTGTGTATAAATGCCACATTTTTTTTTATCCATTCATCTATTGAAGGGCATCTAGGTTGGTTCCAGTCTTGCTATTGTGAATTGTGCTGCTATAAACATTGATGTAGCAGTGTCCCTGTAGCATGCTCTTTTTAGGTCTTTAGTGAATAGACCAAGAAGGGGAATAGCTGGGTCAAATGGTGGCTCCATTCCCAGCTTTCCAAGAAATCTCCATACTGCTTTCCAAATTGGCTGCACCAATCTGCAGTCCCACCAGCAATGTACAAGTGTACCCTTTTCCCCACATCCTCGCCAGCACTTGTTGTTGTTTGACTTCCTAATGGCTGCCAATCTTACTGGAGTGAGATGGTATCTTAGGGTGGTTTTGATTTGCATTTCTCTGACTGCTAGAGATGGTGAGCATTTTTTCATGTACTTGTTGATTGATTGTATGTCCTCCTCTGAGAAGTGTCTGTTCAGGTCCTTGGCCCATTTGTTGATTGGGTTGTTTGTTATTTTATTGTCTAATTTTTTGAGTTCTTTGTATACTCTGGATATTAGGGCTCTATCTGAAGTGTGAGGAGTAAAGATTTGTTCCCAGTATGTAGGCTCCCTATTTACCTCTCTTATTGTTTCTTTTGCTGAGAAAAAACTTTTTAGTTTGAGTAAGTCCCATTTGTTGATTCTAGTTATTAACTTTTGTGCTATGGGTGTCCTATTGAGAAATTTGGAGCCCGACCCCACAGTATGTAGATCGTAGCCAACTTTTTCTTCTATCAGACGGCATGTCTCTGATTTGATATCAAGCTCCTTGATCCATTTTGAATTAACTTTTGTGCATGGCGAGAGAAAGGGATTCAGTTTCATTTTGTTGCATATGGATTTCCAGTTTTCCCAGCACCATTTGTTGAAGATGCTATCCTTCCTCCATTGCATGCTTTTAGCCCCTTTATCAAATATAAGATAGTTGTAGTTTTGTGGATTGGTTTCTGTGTCCTCTATTCTGTACCATTGGTCCACCCGCCTGTTTTGGTACCAGTACCATGCTGTTTTTGTTACTATTGCTCTGTAGTATAGTTTGAAGTCTGGTATCGCTATACCGCCTGATTCACACTTCCTGCTTAGCATTGTTTTGGCTATTCTGGGTCTTTTATTTTTCCATATGAATTTCATGATTGCTTTCTCTATTTCTACAAGAAATGCCGTTGGGATTTTGATTGGCATTGCATTAAACCTATAGAGAACTTTTGGTAATATCGCCATTTTGATGATGTTAGTTCTGCCTATCCATGAACAGGGTATATTTTTCCATCTTCTAAGATCTTCTTCTATTTCTCTCTTTAGGGTTCTGTAGTTTTCATTGTATAAGTCTTTCACCTCTTTTGTTAGGTTGATTCCTAAGTATTTTATTTTTTTTGAAGATATTGTGAATGGAGTGGTTGTCCTCATTTCCATTTCAGAGGATTTGTCGCTGATATACAGGAATGCCTTTGATTTATGCGTGTTGATTTTATATCCTGCCACTTTGCTGAATTCATTTATTAGCTCTAATAGTTTCTTTGTAGACCCTTTTGGGTCTGCTAGGTATAGAATCATGTCATCTGCAAATAGTGATAATTTAAGTTCTTCTTTTCCTATTTTGACGCCTTTAATTTCTTTCGTCTGTCTAATTGCTCTGGCCAGTGTTTCGAGAACTATGTTGAACAGAAGTGGTGAGAGAGGGCATCCCTGTCTTGTTCCAGATTTTAGAGGGAATGCCTTCAATTTTTCTCCATTCAGAATGATGCTAGCCTGAGGCTTAGCATAGATTGCTTTTACAATATTGAGGTATGTTCCTGTTATCCCTAGTTTTTCTAGAGTTTTGAACATAAAGGGATGCTGTACTTTGTCGAATGCTTTTTCCGCATCTATCAAGATGATCATATGGTTCTTATTTTTAAGTCTATTGATGTGGTGAATAACATTTATTGATTTCCGTATATTGAACCAGCCTTGCATCCCAGGGATGAATCCTACTTGATCATGGTGCACAATTTTTTTGATATGTTTTTGTATCCGATTCGCCAGAATTTTATTGAGGATTTTTGCATCTAGGTTCATTAGAGATATTGGTCTGTAGTTTTCTTTCTTTGAAGTGTCTTTGTCTGGTTTAGGTATCAGGGTGATGTTGGCCTCGTAGAATGAATTTGGAAGTTCTCCCTCTTTTTCTATTTCCTGAAGTAGCTTGAAAAGTATTGGTATTAGTTCCTCTTTAAAGGTTTTGTAAAACTCTGCTGTATACCCATCCGGTCCTGGGCTTTTCTTAGTTGGTAGTCTTTTGATGGTTTCAAGAATAAACCACACTACTTCGTACTAATGAATAAGACTTAGAATTTTTCAGTCCTTAGAATAAAGATCATTTTCATAATATCAGAAGACCAACCATCTGCTTCTGACACTTGGAATTCATTTAGTTAAGATGATTAAGATGCTCTGTTCAGTTTTGTGCTTTTACCTTAGTGTCCCATGTGTGCCTCTCATCTTTCCTGTCAAAGACCAAATAAGACCAAAACACTGGATTGGATAGGACCATGAATAAATCCTTATGTTCTCACCCCCACACATCATATATAGATTGTGAGTATATGAATACAAATGAAGGTTTCATATCTATAATGCATTCATAAATTAGAAATTGTGTGAGATTTGTATAAACAGGAGAACAGAAAACATTTTATTTCATCTTCTTTAAACACACACACACACACACACACACAGAGAAAGAAGTCCTTAGAGAATAAAAATAGAAGAATATTGTGTAGCAGATTTTCATGATTGGACCAACAACTCATAGACAGCAATTTGACATGTAGTAAAACCATGCTAATAAAGAGCTGTTGAGTTTTTGATGATCATTCTCACATATTAGAATGTCTTCCAGTGAGATTTTTCTTGTAAATAAGTGTTTATATCCTGTCGTTAACTTAAAACTAACCTTACACATTAAAAATAAAAAGGGTTGAAAATTTTCATTCAAAATTAAAGTGATATCTGAAGAGATGCATTCATTCATTAGGTTTATGTCTTTCTGATAGATTTTCTGTAAATCAGGTATAATTAATAAATGACATCTCCCAGGCAGCTGAAAGAGGGGGATTTAGCTCCAGCATTACCACCAACCTGGAAGCTGTGTGACTGCAGGAAGATCACTTGACTTCTCTGGGTTTATTTTACTATGTATCATGCAAAAATACTGACAATTCTTTCTGTACCACTTTATTCTAGGGTATTTTGAGGCCACCTGACTTAGTCTATGAGCCCAGAAAAGTAATTTTATTAGAGTTTATGGAATTATGATTTTTATACCTGAAACACCATATGATTGATATCTAAAGAAAACCATCAGAAATCAAACCAATGGGGTTTTTATTCATCTTTTTTAATGCTTAAAATTTATTTTATTTTATTTTAAATACATGTTCCTGCTGTGGTATATACAAAAAATATGATCAGTAACCAGTAGCTTTTCATTACTATTCACATCTTTCAGTTTAGAAATCTGTATCTTGTCAAACATATAATTAATGGTATTTATTAAATTATATGACTATAAAAGATCAACAAACTATACTATTAACATGCTGATTTGGATCAAAACCTTACATTTCTTCTGAACCTTTTTTCTTTTCTACACCCTCCATTTTGCCACATAATTATCAGTTTCCCTAGCAACACTGTCGGTTCACAGTGAGATGCAGAGACTACTAATTCTTACTGAAGCCAATCCGTGCT